ATCCTTAAAAAGGAAAAGAATGAAACAAAATGAGAAGTAGGATTTGAGTTATTACATACTTCTGAAAAGATGGTTTTCCAAACTACCACGAGGCATAAACTCGTAAACAAGAAGCCTTTGATCATCTTCAATGCAATATCCAATCAACTTAACCAAGTTGGGATGAAGAAGGTCTCCGAGAAAATTCACTTCTGCCTGCAAAAGAAAATATTCAGAATGCAAGTCTGTTCAAAGAAAACAAGTGCCAGCTGACTTAGTAGGACGCAGAAAAATACAAACCAGCCATTCTTTGTGCCCTTGAAGTCCATCGTGATTTAATGTCTTCACAGCTACAGTAAGCCCTGTACCAGGTTTCATAGGAGCAGTTCCATTTTCCTCAATCCAGCCTTTAAAGACACAACCAAAGCCTCCCTCGCCAAGAAGACTCTCTGGTCTAAAGTTTCTTGTGGCAGATTTAAGATCATTGAAATTGAACTTTCTGAGTTGAGATGCAACTTTCAGATCCTCTCCTGCTTTGCTAGTAGATGAACTACTTTCTGCATTACTAGTGGTTGTAGAACCAGAAACAACTAACACTGGAGCAGCTGGTTGGTCCCTGCTACCATCATTTGTGGATTTACTTTCTGCACAACAAAGCACAAATTAAATGGGCTGTGCTATATCCCTATGTATGTACGTATGGAGACATCGATGCAACTGCCCATATGAATATAATAGGAAACATACACAGATTACAAATACACATACTGAGATGGAAACAACATATTATTGCACAAGAAAAAAATAACTTTCAAGTTAGCATGACTACTGTGTGCGAGACTACAAAGCTAGAAGATAAATAGTGTAACATGTACTACCCAATGCAATAACAAGTGGTATTCTCTTATATTTATATAGGTAACTATATTGTCTATGACAAGCAAATTTCAGAAGCTTGCCTGGTGCCATAGATTGTTCTCTGGGAAGGTAGACGTGCGTTATCCTTCTCTAAGAGAACCATACTGTTGATACATGATAAATCTTTTAATTCAATTCAAGCCATTCTCATCCATAAAGCAAACTTTTTCTAGAAATACGATGAATGGAAGCACTAGAATAAAGCAAGAACTTAGTGTTACAGTAGTCATAGTCCTAGACCATAATTAAAACTGTAAGATACCCCCATTGAATTGATCAAGGATCAGTATTAAAGCTAGTTTGTAAGTTACTCAAGATCGTTATGCATGCAAATAACTCCTAAATTAAATGAAGCTTTGATAGTTCTGGAAACAAATTGATTATTTATGCTTTTATTCTGGTTATATTACAGTGCAATACATTGATGCATTGTTTAAAAACTTCAATGTCTTACTTTTAGTAAGATACACCACGAAGTATCTTCCACCGACAGAACTTGAGCTCACTTCTATCCAGATTCCAGGGTAACATACATTATACAACTACGTGCACGACATGCAAGGGCACCCAGAGCATGGGAAAACAAGCAACTATTCGGCCATCATATTCAAGCTTCAGTCATGCAATCTATTAAATAGCTTTGTTCTCACCCCTAACATGCATATTTGCGCAATACAGAATGGAAATTACTAGATGGACCATTTCATCTTTCTTTTTTCTCACTCTATTATAAAGACATGATTGAATACAAACCAGTGGCGGCAGAAATAGGAAAGTTAGACAAATGGCACAGATGATAACATCATCATGGTTTGATATTTGGCACGTAAAATAAGCTCCAAACTTTGGTAACTGAGTTTATGACTGTTCAGAAAATGCTGGAATTTCCTATAGTGTATATTCAATATTTTCACTACTATCATTAGTCAATGATTATGCACATCTTCAGCGTTCAACAACTGTATGTCCATGCAGAACAAGTTGTCTCCTGTATTATATAGAAATTACTTTCCACAAGATATAGGAAGAATTTCCTCCTCGCCTTTATATGATCAAAATAGTTACCAAACGAATAATCGATTTGACTGAGGCAGAAGCATCTAGAGCATAGGATAGACAAGCCACCTACGTTAGTAAATTGCTATAATTGTCAAGCTAAGCTCACCAAATTCATGAAATGCATCTCATGCGAAGAGTTCAAGGACAAGTGTCCTCGGGTTTGACAAGGTGAGTAATCTGATATCTTTCCAGAGAGGTTGATGCATCAAGATGGACACTTGTCATTCTATGTGTCTATAGAAACATGAGACTGGCAGATACGACAAACACTGAAAATCCAGGATACGGAGGCCTCGTGGATACGACAATGATAATTTAATACACTTGCGTAAGTTTGCAACTTCAAGGCCCTTGTACTTAGATATATTTGTAAGTTGTATAAATTGATATCTTAAGCATGTTCATAATGACTATGAGAATAATTGCAACTCACCAACTCTTCATCAAGAAAGTGGATGTACACATCTATAAATCAACAGAATCATGAGACCAAAATCCATGCATTGGATTTTTAACTTACCCGTCATTCATACAAATTTGATAAGTATGGAATTTATGGAAATAAAAATTGGGATACATAAAGGAGCAACTATCCATAATGTATCCAAGTACTCGAGTACTAGGTACATATTATACACAAAGAAGACAAATTTATCAAAGTACCGCCATAATAGAGTAGCCATGAAAACTTTGCATCCAAATATTTGATATCAAACCTGACAACTACTGTTTTCTTAGTCTCAGGAAAATCTTCTCAAGCTTCCCCATTGGCACCTTATTTTACAGCTCAATGTACTTACCACATGCAAATTGCTAGGTTTAAAACACCCATAAAATCAAACCCAGATTAGGCCACGAGTTAATCAAAACCCCCAAATGGTGACCGCATCTATACTAGAATCAAACTTGTGAGCCCAAAACAAGCAATAAATTTATCACAACATCCCCATCAAACTAACCACATAAGGGCATGCAACTTAACAGATCAAACTCACTAGATCCTATTCACAATATCAATTGCAGGTCAGAACAAAAGCACCAAACTCATAATGCAACAAATTGGGCCAAATTAACTCAGGAAACCCAAAAACAACCAATTGGGCCAAATTTTCCCACTAAGTAAACTACATTATTAATAGAAAAAACTAATACTGCCTAAATTAACTGCATAATACAAGCAACAGTTCTAAGACTAGAAATCTAAGCAATCAAACACTAAGATCAAGCAAAATACAAGCAAACCCAAATTACCACAGTGAGTGCTGACACCACTGATCGAAGTATCCACTTTAGATCTCGACGATATGCAGCTCCCCATCAATCTGAGCTTGATCCAGCACCCAACGCCACTCTCATCCCCTCCATTAATCTCACTCTCATCACTCCTGCTCCTCTCTTTCTCCTTCTTCTTCTTCTTCTTCTTCGTCGCTGCCTCCTCTCCTCCCCATTTCTCAACCTTCGCCATCTCCACCGAAACTAAACCCAAACCCTAACCCTCAAACCCCGATAAAAATCCAAAATCTTTTGGCCCAACCCTAAAAAAAATCGAGAAAAGGGGTCTTTTTTGAAAAAACCCTAGTCGTGTCCAAATTAGGGAACGAGACAAAAACGGTTTTTTACACTCGGCAGTTGCTGCCCGCCGGACATTGAAGGGAACGGGCAGAGCGGGCGGGGGGAGCGGGCAGGGGTCGCAAGGAATTTAGGAGAGGACCGAGGGGGCTCGTGGGAATTTGTCCGGATGAGGAGGAGGCATCAATTAATGCTCTTTGGTGCTGCTCCTGCTGCTGCTGCTGCTGTTGCCTTTTTATCCCCAAATTGAATCCTGGCTTTTTTTTAATGTTTTATTTATTATGCTTTTTTTAGTTAATTGTGTTTTTGTTTTTTGTTTTTTTGGAGTTGTGATGTCTCGAGCTAGACCAGAGAGATACAGTGATGTAGGATGATGGTTGTGAAATTATTTTTTTTATGCATGCATGTGGAGTGCTGTCCTCGCCTGCGGCGTTTGATTATTGTATAATTATAATGGAATTAAGTTAAACTAGCTGATTATATATTGTGATTATGTGTAGATTGATGTTTTGTTTCCTATGATTTTAGTGAGGAAATCAATGGATTTAAAATTGTTAGAGGCAATTTAGTTTATGTTGCATCCGAGATTAAGCGAAATACGTCTTTGCTCACAAGATCAAAAGATAAGTATTATATTTATATTTTCTCCATTTCAATTTAGTAAGAGAGACTAGAGGCGGAGTGGCCTATGTTGCATTTGAGAGGTAGCAAAATACAATTCCCACGCATGTTTGATTAAATATCAAATATCATATGTTGTTTCTTTTTTGGGCTGTAAGTATTGAAAATGTGAGTTTTCAGTGCAGTTATAAAAAAAATTTCTACAGTTTATGTCGTGAAAGTGACATTTTCTATGTGTATGTCATGGATGTGCCATTACGGTACATATCTACGTACCTACAACTACTATTTCTATGATCTATGCATTCGAAAAGCATGAGAAAGCTGAGATAATTTTAACTTTATCTTCTCTCTTTTTGTTAATTCTTTTATCTTTGTTATTTCATTAGATATATCTGCATTTACTATTCATGGTCTACGCATTAAAAAATGAGATATACTTTCATATTCGCAGTGTTTGGCTCCATATATTATTCTACGAAATAGAGAAATGTTTGTTTCTAACACACTTACTAATTACTATATACTATTGGGTTCGAATCCGATCGAGATGAGTGAGATGTCGGAGAACATTGAAAACGAAATTTGAATCTAGAACATTGAAACACTATAAAATGAGGAAAACTAGGTATGATATCGCTTTTCACTTGGAAAAATATCAAATTCCTTCAACTTCGAAGAAGGGAAAAAAAAATCTGAGCTTTAGAAGGGTGGTGTTCATTGCCTCATCTAAGATGCTTAGAAAACTCATCCAATGTAAATCTTAGTTACTAGACAAAATAAAAAGAATTTATATCACTAGCATAATGCACGTGATTTGCATGCGGATATTTTATAATTTAATATTTTACTTCTAATAAATTAATATATAAATATGTTACAAAGTTATCTTATTACACTATGGTAAAAAAAATTTAAGTTGTACTACTATTAGTACTTATACTATTATTAACATACATTTAATAGCTATTTAAATTTGCTTATTGTTATTATGTTATTAAAATTTTATTTAAGAGTATAATTATTAAATAATAACATAATCATTGGTTTAACGCTATTGAAATAACTAAACCATTCATATTACTAATATTTATGTGTTGTACAAATTTTATTACAATATCTATTAAATAATGGAAATAATTTTTAATATTATATGACTTTATATTGTAAAGAATGTTACCTTGTTTGATAAGTAATATCATCTTAGAAATAAAAATTTAGACGGCATAAATTAAAAATAATATAATTTAGGAGAAATATTTTATATAAAAATATTGGATCCTTGAAGTTTATGAGACATTTACTTTCCAACAAAAATTGCATGTATCATAAATTTTAGGGATCCAATATTTTTATATAAAGTAATTTTTCTAAATAAAAGTATTTTTAATTTAGAACATCCAATTTTTATTAATAAGACGATACTATAATATCGAAAAAGGTAATAATCCTTACAATATAAAGAATCAATCCATATTAATACTATTAATAATAATAATTATTATGTACAATAATTTACTAAATAAATAATTTTTTTATTTCATTAAAATTAATAATTCCTTATAATGAATTATAATATATTTATTAATTTTATTATCATTATAAATTATTAATGTATTCTAGTGAATGACCAAATATTTTAGAGAAAAGAAAAGAAAAGTATATGTCTCATAAATTTCAAGGATCCAAATATTTTTATAAATTTTTTTTCAAAATAAATATATGTTTAATTTATAACATTCAAAATTTTATTACTAAGATGATATTAATTATCGAACAAGGTAATATTATTTACAACATAAAAAACAACCCCCATTTATACTATTATTGATAATTATAATTATGTACTATATAAATAAATAGTTATCACTATTTTATATAATTAATAATTCTTTATAATAACTATCATATATTTATAACTTTTAATCATTATAAATTATCAATATATTCTAGTGAATGACCAGATAATTTGAGAAAATGAAGAGACACATAGTTAATGAGAGGTTAAGGATCATTTAGCTTTATAAATAATGGTATAATCGTGAGTTATAAAAAAAATTGAGAGGGTAAAAAAGGAAATCAAAAGTTTTGACATGGGTATTCTCTTTTATAAGTAGTATAGATATAGATATAGATATAGATTTACTGTATTCACACGTTGAAGTGAATATATTTATATATCTAATTATATTTAATCATAGTGATCCTCTTGACAGATTGTTTGATCTTCGAAAAATTAACATTCAAGTATGTATTATATTTAATCATAGTGATCCTCTTGACAGATTGTTTGATCTTCGAAAAATTAACATTCAAGTATGTATTAATTATGGAGACATGTTGTGCTACTTGTTATATATGTACAAGGCTAAAAAAAGGGAAAAAAAGAGGGGAAAGAAAAGAAAAACAATTGTCTAGAATATTATAAGATGGAAACAGCGTGGGTAGGCCAAAAATGGATGAGAGGTGAACATTTCCTCTATATTTCATAGGAGAGCTCTTTTCATTTCATTTCTTTTCTTCTTATTTTTTCTAGAACTTTCTAAAATGTAGATTTGAGTTTATTATTGAAGCCCATTAATAGCATACCCATTACATCGCATATTATAAGAGACATATAAATATGAAATGATAAAGTTCTTTTCCAAACGATGCATATAAATACAATAAAAACAACAATTAGAATTTATATATGTTCCAATGTAAATATTAATCAAAAGTATATATCTAGACACTTGCGAAAAAATAAGTAAAATAATAACATTAACTAAGAAAATTATACCTTCCCTCAAATTTAAATATTCCTCATAACTGATTCCTAATAAAATAAATAAAATATAGTTTATTAATTAAACAAACAAACACCACAAAAAGTACTTGGAAAAATTGATGATCCCTTAGGGAAGTGACCCATTTTATATAAAAGTAAGAATATTTTAAGTTTTAATTTCTATTAAATGAACAAACATCATAAAAAATAAAATATAGCTTATTAAATGAGCAAAATATCATAAAAAGTTCTTGGAAATTTTAATGATCCTTTAAGGCATCAAAGCCCATTTTATACAAAACTTAGGACGTACATTTATGTTTTAGTTTCTGTTGCACGTGCAATAGTGCTAGTATAACATGATAAAGTAATTATCGTCATCCAATGCACCAACAAAATTATTTTTGGTAAAATATTTGAGAATTCCACCCCTCATTTTATCCATAAATTTAGTAAAACATAGATATATGTTATGTGTTCATGCACTATAAAACAACACTATTAAAAAAGGAGGAAAAAAAAATACCCAAGAGGTGCCAGACATATAGATTCCAAATAGAATTTACGCTAAAAATTGGTATAGATTTTGATATTCGAGGCTGGTATAAGTAGTGAAGGTCCAAGCATTCTTCAAAGAAAATATAAATTTTCTTTTAGGGATTTTTTTAAGGTAAAAGTAGGGTGAGCTACCCTATTCAAAAGTATAATAATTATAGATAGAGGACTATCATAATATTCAGTCTTGCCAAATAATCAACAAGAGACTTATTCGAAAACAGTAGTGCTGTTTTTTTTACAAAAACAAAAGAAAACCATGCATAGAGACTATTCAGAAATTTCCTTCTAGCTACTACTTCTTCCGCATTGGCGATCAACGCTTCAATGCCCTTTTTCTTTGCAATTGCCTACAGAATGGAAGCTATAGCTCCTTTTCTCCTTGAGTTCGCATCCAGAAAATGACGACGGAGTGGGAAATGTTAGAAGTCAACTTTTGAGCAGTTACGTCACCCGCATTAAAGATGATGTTTGTTTCTTGCTTGTTAAGGAGCTGTTTGGTTCAAGTATTTTGAGGGGGAAAAGAGTCGAAAGCTGCAAGGCAGTGTCAGAGCGTCCTGGGATTTTCTCATGCTGTCCCCATTCGGCAGTCACTGACATTTGCAACTTTCCCCCCAATTCGCTAAATTTTGGTGCGAGTTGGGCGGAAAGCTGACAAGATGTCAGAAATACCCAACGCCTCCTCAACATCCAAACGGCCCCTAAACGCATCGGCAGAATGTTAGAAAGAGAATACCCGTAAGCTTCTAGATCAATTGTTAGAGATCAAATATCTATATTTTAAAATAATAACATCATGCAAGGAGTAGGAAGAATAACAATATCTAATCGGCGATAGAAAATGCTAGCTCCATGCCATTTTCACAAAAGGGCCTGTGACTGATATTAGCCTTGATTTGAAGCTTCCTCTTATCGTGAAGCCAATAGAGTTTGTTTAGCTTTGTTTTGAATGAAACAGACCCAATAAAGTTAAAATTACATCAAACATCGTCCGTTGCCTTGAGAATTCATACGGGGATCTTAAAGAATGACGTATAACGAAGAGGAAGAGATGATAGAACCAAGTTAATGAGAACTACTCTGCTTCCTATATAGAGATGTCTAATTTCTGTAAGGAAAGTT